GTATTGGCGGCGAGCGGCTGCGTTATTTTTCTATTCGACATGGTCGAACGGAACACCTGTCCCTCCAATGCTTTGTGTTTGTCAGAGGGGTAAGATTAATAAATGGGTTCCTCTATGACTGCTTTTTTGCAAAAATATTTTTTATTATTTTTCCAATCAGCAGCTGTGTTCTTGTGGATTGAATAAATACTGTGGAATCCTGGTGCAACAAAATGAAATAAAAAACTTTTGTAATGCTGGTGGACTCTCAACAGCAAACTTGTCTACAAGAATTTTCTATGTACTGTATAACAAACTTTTCCTTGAATCCATAATGTTCTCTCTCCATCTTATTTGGGTTCTTTACAACAAAATTCACTCTACAATGAATATGTTCTGGTCTCCTGGAATTGTTTGCAGAGTCCTCTTTTTGGACTCCCTACAACTATTTTCTACCACCAGGTGGACTCCATGATAATTTTCTCTCTACAAATAATTTTTATTTGGTTGCTTAGGGTTCTCTCTCAATCTTACATGGGTTCTCTACAACAACTTCTCTCCACAATGAATTTGTTCTGGTCCTTTGAATATTTTTGATGAGAGAGTCCACCAGGTGCACTCTTTCTAAAACCAAATTTTTAAACTATGTTCTGTATCAATTTTTTTCTGTAGCAACTTTTCCAATGATCATTAAATATCATGGTAACTAGAGTAGCTTCAAACGGAATTTCTACAAAATAAAAATTTGTAATTACAAAATTTCACTGTATATAAAATCCACAGAAATATTGTGGCTATAAAGAGCATGGTCTTTGGAATATAATTATGGCGAAGAATGTGCTATGATGAAGTTTGTTGCAACACAATTCTATGTAACCCTGACATCAAGATCCATCATGTATGCTGTACTGTAAACTAAGTAGAGTTGTTAAAAATACTGTACTGTGATCAGTTGTACTTCAATGAAATTATTCAGAACTTAAGAAGTCACATGTGATCCTACCTGTAATTTGGATGAAAGCCTTATATCCTTGAAATATTCATTATTAATTAATAAAAGCTCTTGAGTGCATATTTAAATGATTAGAAGTGCAGTATTTGTTAATGATGAGATTTTGGCTCTGATTCAACTTCAAAGGTTATGACAGCTGTGACAAAGTCAATCATGAACTTGACCAGCTGATCTAAATGTAAGGTGCACATGATTAAAAGCCATTTTACATAATACAGTATAGGATCACAAACAGAAATAAATTTAGAGGCATAATTTTGCGAGTCTTTTCTTGAATTGTAAACCCTCATCAGCGTTGTCATGTGAACCAATATCTCTTAAATATATTTCCTGTTACTTTCCAGCAATTAATATACAGTGAGACCCCCACATGCGGACACCTCAACCTGTGGACAATTCAACATAGGGACACTTATTTTCCCAGAAAAAAATTGATAAAAAAGGCCCTGACATGTGGACACTGACTTGACATAGGAACATTTTGTGATAAAATTGCAAAAACATTTCAGGCCAATTTACTAGAAACAGATATTTCCAACGCTAAAATTTATGGAAGAAAAGTTTGTAGCCATTTCTCTCACCAGATTACCATCCTTTTAGCTAATTTAAAAAATTCCTCCAGCATAGAGGGACTTCTACTTTTTTTCACTTGAAAGTTATTTTTGTAGATGCCAACATTTCAGTGTACAGTACAGAGATACACTATTCAATGCTCCAAATGTTCTTATTGAGTTTAAAATGTATTCCCTAATTCAAATTCAAGTGGCAGGCAATTTTTTCAGGGAATTCTGATGAATATTTCTTCCACAAAACACCAATTAAAAATTATACAGTATGATGTAAGTCTATGCGAAAAAAAAGACTCAACTTAGGGACATTTTGACTTGGGGACACTCTTGATGCACCAATTATGTCCACATCTCGGGGTCTCACTTCCTGGAATATTTTCTTTTTTTGGTCACCTTGTTTATTGTTGATCATTCATTTTCCTCACCCTCTCTCTTTCGAATCTCTGACGTAAACGAAATGAAAACTCACAAATGTTTTTTTTTCGCATGCAGGGTATTTTTTTCTCGATTCCATCTTACAGGGAAGGCGATTTCGTCGAATTTCACTTCGTCGTATACAAAACGGATCTTCTCATCATCATCATCATCACTCTCCACAAGTCGGTTTTTAAAGAAGAAGAAAAAAAAACAGGACAAGTGTAATCCCATCATATTCAATGATGAAGACGTATACTTCAAGAGGAAAAGCTGCTTTTACGTAATATAGAATTACACACATGAAGCAGAAATAAATTTAGAGAAATATAGTTTTGCAAGTCTTTCGTCGGAGTGTAAACCCTCTCGATCGATCATCGTCGCATAAACCGATATATCACTTGAAGATTTCCTTTCTTTTTCATCGATCCATTATTTAAATATTCGGCGTCGAATATTTGTATATCTTCTTTTGTCGGGTGTTGTTGATGTTTACGCCTTTTCGGACTTCTCAGTCGTGCCAGCGATTTCCGTGTTGGTGGATCGCGCGTCGTCGACGTCGTCGTCGTCGTCGTTGCGGCAAGCCAGGCACGGGAACTTTTCGTAGAGGGCGACTCTGTACTTGGGGTGGCTGATGCCGTAGACGATGGGGTTGTAAACGGCGGCGCACTTGGCGAACAAGGAGCCCCAGACCGTGAACAGCGGCGTCACGGCGTCCTTGTTGAAAATGCCGCGGAAGTTGATGACCAGATACGGGGTCCAGGCCATGAACCACAGCGAAATGGTCATCATGGCGATCTGCAGCAGAACATATATACAAATACAGTGGCCCCCTGCCTAACAGACCTCCCGTGTAAGGGATTTTTGCCGAACAGACCAGCTCTGCAAGCAGTTTTTCCTCCCACCCAACAGACAAAATCCACCAAACAGACTTCTTTTGGTTTAAAATTAGTGTTGAAAATTGAAATTTTCAATTTTTATGTAATTGAATTCATGTAAANAAAATCCACCAAACAGACTTCTTTTGGTTTAAAATTAGTGTTGAAAATTGAAATTTTCAATTTTTATGTAATTGAATTCATGTAAAGGACTTTTTGTCTAACAGACTTGCCCATTGCACAAATCAAGTCCGTTAGACAGGGGTTGACTGTATATATACCGGTGAACCTTGATAAGTTGAACCTCTGTAAGTCGAACTCCTCCCTAACTCGAATTTTTTTCATGTCCCTGTCCAAATTCCCTTAAGATCAATACATTAAAAACCTCCCTGACTCAAATTCTTTTTTCCTAAAACCTCTGTAAGTCGAATTTTCTGAGGCCATCTGGTTATTATTTCTGTGAAATATGAGAGAGAATATGATTAAAACAAATAATTTGATGCATCTTGGAAGGAATTGAAAGACAAATATAGCAAATGAACCCCTGCCTCCAAGTTCAGCACAGTAAAAACTCATCAAGAGGCAAGTTTAGGCCCAGAATCTTCTCATTTACAATTTCCTGCAATTTTTTTTTACTAATCCTCACAGCAAGAATTATTTTGTCCTTGGTTCAAAACCTGCAAAAATCAAAACCTCCCTAAGTTAAATTTTTTTCTGGTCCCTAGAAATTCGATGCACAGAGGTTCAACTGCTGTATATACAATAAATGCAGTGTTTTTTATGGTTACTGAAATCTTGTTATAATGAAAAATTTTTGTATCAAGATTTATAGTTTGAAATGTATTTCAAAAAATTGAGTAAATATCATACAGCGCCCCTCCAAAACCAGGAATTATCATAATCAAGACTTATCATAATTACCAAGTATTATTTTTGATGAAATGAATAGGAAATTTTAGAAATAAATATCATTTTTGCTTTATTCATATTTAACCTGCTTCCTTTGTTACCAAACTGTCATTGCTCTGTCTTGATGAATAATATTAAATACATTACAGGTGGAAGTACTGCACTGTACTCCCATCTGAATCAAATTATTCATTCATACCTGTCTGTTCTTTCAAATAGAGGAAACATTTGTCTAACATACTATTGATTTGAAAGAAAGGCAAACATGAATTGGACCTGAAGAATTTCCAAGAAGTAATGTCATCTTGTGCATTTAAAAAGAACATAATTCCATCTACATGCAGTTTTGCTTTATTGATAAAGTTGGACAGCTGCACCTTTTCACTTTTTTTCTCATTTTTCTGACATTCATCAAATATAATGGCCTATACAGTATGTACAGCAGAATCAGACCAAACATTTATTGGAATGAGATTGCAATGTTAAATGAGTTTGTTGAATCCAAATTTTTATAGCATGGCACCTATAGAGAAGAATTTCCATGACCCAAAAAATATTGCTAAACTTGAAAATGTGTTTCAACAAGATCCATTGTAATGGAATTCTACTGCAAAATATATCGTTTCAAACCTTGGCAAGGCGGATTTCAGCACTGGTCTTGTTGGCCTCTGATGAACGCAAGCTCTGCACATTCATCTTTTTTGCTTGCTCCCTCATCTGCTCCTCATGTTCAGCAACAGCCTATAAAGAAATAATCATAAAAAATCTGTATATTGAAAGGACTGTCACCAGCAGTTTCGAAGCACCCCTCAATTTACCACTCAATTCATTGAAAAATAAATGAAAAATAGAAAAAGCTTTTTAATAGATTCTTCTGAGATGAATCCTTTGTTAGTTACTTTCTTCCTCCGAAAAAAACATCACATAGAAATATTTTGGCTGCTTAGACCTTTTTGCAAAGCAAAGATACACTTTGTCAAAATTATGTAAAAAATTATGTAATCCAAGCATTCCTCAATTGCCAAATGAACTCAATTCATTGAAGAAAAAATATAAATTTGGAAAAACAGGGTTTTTTCATACAGTATACAGTACAGGATTTAAAAAAATAATTGTTCTGTGATTTACTTTCTTCCACCAAAAACATTCCACAATGCACAATTTCGCTTGTACAGACCTTTTGCAAAGCGAGGATACACCTTCTAACATGTATGCAACAAAATGAAGAATATTATTCATTATGGTTTTCTAAAATTAAGAAAATAAGTGGTTCAGTACTGTATATCCAAAATGCAGAAATAACTGGAATAGCTTCCCCATTTTGATAAATTTTCTGAAAAACACTAATACAGTACACACCTTCACAATCTGGAAGTAGCAGTAGAGGATAGTGAGGAGAGGCAAGAAGTAGACCCAGACAGCATATGCAATCACATAGCTGCGGCTGACCCAGTCCTCTGACATGGAGTCTGTTCCACACACAGTCATGTTGCCCTCAGGCACATACCGGTTCCATCCAAAGAATGGGAGCGTGCACCACACCAGGGAGGCTGTGTTCACAAACAGGATCATGCCAAGGGCTTTCTTGTAGGTCATGGGCTTGGCAGCAATGCCCTTGACAATCACATTGTACCTGTCCACTGCAATCATGGCCATGGACCAGATGGACATGCAGCCTGACAGGGAGCCCACAAATGCATAGATCTCACACATGAGTGAACCTGCAATCCAGATGAAGTAAATTATACACATGGTAACTTGCAAATCCAACCCTAATACATTTATGGGCTAGGACACTGAATCATGAAGCAGTGTCAAATTGCAAGACAATGTCAAATGCAATGTTTTCTGCATTTAATTTGACATTTTGTGTCTCTCAGCAGGCCAAATTGTGGGGCAGAGGTGGAATTGTGTACAAGTTGTTGGGGAACTGGCACCGCTAGTGTAATGAGCGCCTCATCAATCAAGGCAGGAGTAAATTGGGTGGAAAAAGCACCCAAGGACAAACACAGGAAACAGTCAAATTTAGAGCACCAGAAAATCTGGGAAAATTTGAGAACCTTCTTCCAAGGCTTCCTGCCCCCAGAGTTGTCTTTGACTTCAACTTTTCTGGCCAATCCCAGGACTCTAAAAATCGCCTGATCCTCAGCCAGAGAGCTGGATCAAGGCCAGCACCAACAATTAATAAAAACCCCCTTTATTCCCCTTTTTACCATCAGTCTGAGCCTAGCTGTTGTGTGGTGAACACAGTGTAATAAATTTGAGCTTGTTGAGAGGTTTTTGCCGTTAATCAAATATTCTGAGACTTGTTGAAATCTTTACTGTTGTTGGGACTATATATTGAAATACAGTTTAAAGTTAAAGTTGGGATTCTACCAGGAATCCCCAGCGATGTCCCAGGCTGATCCTGTGTTTCTATTTATAATTCTTTTGATCCACAGCTTTCTTTCTCTTTTCTTGTGTTGTGGTGACTGTTGTCCCCAACATAAATTGACCTGCTCCCAGGAAATTTGGCCAAAAAATTGCAGGATGTTGAATGGCTCAGTACCACCTGTATTGGATTCAAAATGCACCAAAATGGTGTCTGATGTGGTTTGATGAATTTTACTGATAAATTACTTTCTATGTAAAATTTAAAGAGACTAACAAATTTGGCTTATGGAGGTTTCAAAATATTGGAGAGATTTTGAGTTAGGGAAATGACCATTTTTGTTGTGAGGCACATAAAAGAATTGCAGGAAATTGCAAATGGTGATATTCTTGGCCTTGAACTGCTTCTGAAATGAGTTGACAGGATGCTGAACATATTGGAGTCAAGGGTTTTCATTTGCTCAATTAGTCTTTGCCAAAACACATGAAGTTAAATTTGTATTGCTTTTTGCTTTCCTGTGTCAATGAAATAATCTCCAAAATGCCTCCAAAAAATTCACTGCATGGAGGTTTGTAGAGGAAAGCCTTTGAGGTTTCCATTGAATTTTTTTTCAAGAGAATTCAGACGGGAATTTGCAAACATTTTGACATATGGAGAGGTTTGAGTTAGTTATGCAGGTTCAACTTGAGTAAATAAAGAAGAAAAAAAACTTGCCAAAGGCCCAGGTCTCATAGAAGTTGGAAATGGCCATGAAGGGGAACATGAAAACCATCATGATGAAGTCGGAGAAGGCCAGGTTGACAATGAGCAAGTTCGACGGCGTCTTGAGGTTCCTCGTGGACATGAAGACATACATGACAACAAAGTTGCCAACGACGCTGATGAATCCCATGACGGTGATGACGAATGCGAGGAGGGAATACATGAGTGGGTTCAATGGCGGGAACTGGTTCCAGTGGGGGTCCACCATGAACAACATGTCCTGTGGGACCTTGTCCACAATGGACCCGTTGCCGAAGGGCAGGGCGTGGCTGGGGGCCTGCACCAGGCCAGGCATCATCTGCATCTGGCCCGGGTGGCCCCAGGTGTAGGCTTCGAAGCTAGGCTCGGCTGACATCTGGAATTGGGAGCAAGCACATTTTTATATTAACAATTTAAACAATTTTAACATTTTAAAATGTAAACAATTTTAACATTTTAAAATTTAAACAATTTAAACAATTTTAAAATTTAAACAATTTCAAAATTTTAAAATTTAAACAATTTCAAAATTTTAAAATTTAAACAATTTCAACATTTTAAAATTTAAACAATTTTAACATTTTAAAATTTAAACAATTTTAACATTTTGAAATTTAAGCAATTTTAACATTTTAAAATTTAAATAATTTTAACATTTTAAAATTTAAGCAATTTTAACATTTTAAAATTTAAACAATTTTAACATTTTAAAATGTAAACAATTTTAACATTTTAAAATTTAAACAATTTTAACATTTTAAAATTTAAACAATTTTAGCCTTTTAAAAAGTAAACAATTTTAACATTTTAAAATGTAAACAATTTTAACATTTTAAAATTCAAACAATTTCAACATTTTAAAATTTAAACAATTTTAACATTTTAAAATGTAAACAATTTTAACATCTTAAAATTTAAACAATTTAAATTTTTCTCCACGGTTTTTTCCGCTGGTCATTTGCTTGCAATTCAAAAATTCTGAATTTTCGAAAAATATCTCTGTATGCGAAAATGACATTTTGAGATCAGTTCGAGACGAAAAACGATTCCCAAGTTTTCTTTTGCAATTTTTTGAAGAAAAAGGGACTCATCAGAAATTTCTTGCTAAAGGCTGACTTTGAAATCAGAATTTTCACATATTTTCAAGCACTTGTATTGAAATACAAATTTTTACCTTCAAGGAGGAGTAGATATTTCAGATGCAGATTCCGTTAACGACGAAATTCTCGACTAGAAGACCAAATTTTTCTTTTTTTTATTCCGCAAGCGAAAAACTTTTCAAAAACAGGCTTTCGAAGCTGAAGCAAGTTCGAACCCTTCGGACCGAAATACTTCAGTGAAGACTCTGCTTTGACTGAATTCCTCAGGGCCAAGTTCTTGGCCTTTTATACCCTGACAAGGATTTTCTTCTGAAATCAGGGACGAACAAAGTAAAGGGGGAAACCTGGAAGGTGAGTGCAATCCTATTTCGTACACGTGCGGATAAAATATATGTTTATTGCATATATATATGTACTTCTCACAAATAAATCTTTTTCTGTGTTTGACACAGATGTTGAATTGCTTGACAGAAGCATTTCATGGTCTTCCTCTGGCTTGAGAGAATCTTTCCTATGGCTTCTTGCTCAGCTTTTCTCGACACGTTTACTTGCTGACACGTTTTAGAATAAACAAACATAGTTTATTAAGTGTATATTTATATAGCCTTGTTATTTATTCAGACTGCTTTGCAATATTCAATGTCTTATATTTTATCCATATAGTTCCATAACCTTGCCTGTCATATATATTTCTGAAACTGTTTCACTGATTTTCTTCAATCAAATATTTTTTATTATTATTGGATAATTTATTTTAGTCCAAACCTCTAAGTTGAATTTCAAGTGTCCTGCAAAAGAATTCGACTTAGAGAGGTTTCAACTTAGGGAGGTCAGGAATTTTATAGGTTGGAACTGCAATAAAAGCCCTTTTTTCTGGAAAACTTGAAAACAATTTAAATGGAGATATTCTAAAGCTTAAATGGCTTCTTAAATTACTTGAAAGGCTGCTGAACTTGGAGGCAGGGGTTTATTTTCCTAATTAAGTCTTTCACTTCCTTTAAAAAAACATAATTTTCTGTTTTTATTGCTTTTTTCATTTTTTTTTTCAAGAAAATAATGGCGAACAGGCCAAAGAAAATTCGACTTACAGAGGTTTGAGGGGAAAACACTTTGACTTAGGGAGGTTTTTCATGTATTGTTTCTATAAGGGGATTCAGAGGGGATCTGAAAAAAATTAGACTTAGGGGGTATTTAACTTAGGGAGGTTTGAGTTATTGAGGTTCACCTGTAGTCATATGCCATAACTACAATAAAAAAAACATTTTTGAGTGTTCAATCATTATTTCTCAATCCATTATGCTTTTCTGCATTTAGTGCACAAACTGCACCTAACATAATTATGTTGTTACCTGGAATGCCTTTCTAAATCATTCTCCTTTGCCTTGTTTGCTGTGCAACAAAGTATTTCAACACCAATCCAAATTGGTTGGCATGCAAATTGCTCAACTTCTACTGCCAAAATGTATAAATACAGGTGTCTCTTATGTTGGAGAACACAATTGTTATCATGCAGACTTTGCTGCAAAACCTTGTTGACATTGCTCAGCTCTGCAACATACTGTATATTCTATTGATGTATGAATATGAAGGAATGAAGACTCTTGTATAAATTCTCTCATCAGATTATTCTTTGTATTCTTTGAAAGTATGCAGAAAATAATTCGAATCTCCAAGACCCAAGTCTCTATTTTGGTAAAGCAAATTACCCACAAGAAAGAGAAATTGTCTGATCAAAAATTTAAAAACTAAGAAATAAGTTGTTGTTCACGCCATTTTCAGGCCAAAGAAATGTTCCCAGCATTAATTTAAAACCTTTAATGTTTCTCCTGACTTTTATTACACACCAGCTTTCAATAGAGACTGGCATTTGTTTACCAAAGTCAATACTTACCAACAAGAGAAGAAGGAAAATGGGATAAATATCCCAGTTGAAAAAATAGGAATGGGAATTAGGGCTTATTTCTTAAGCACTTATGTAATGGATTTTTTTAATGAGAGAATTCTCAAATTTTTTTCAATCTCCCTGATCCTTTTTTGACCTGGTTAATATT